CCACGTTGCACAGCACCATCCTCACCTTTATTGCGGCCGTCGCACAGCTACGATGGTGGCTATGGTACATCGTCTCGTACTTTCCCATGGGATTGAGCGGCCTGCGTTTTGCAGCGCGCTTTGGTGGTGGCCGCGTCGCTGCCTGGATGAACGACTAAGCAAGCAGTACGATACCAAAGTGGCGGAGTTCGTTTATCAGGACGCGACGCGCGTCGACGCAAACAATACACTACATTCACTACAACCTCTCTCTCTTTCTCACACACTTTGTTCCGGTTCGTGGCGAAATCACTGTCTCCCGACTGGGGTTCCGGAACAAGGCTTCCTCGCCAGTCACGATGCAGCATCACGTTCATCATTTCTGCTTCGCTCGTCTTCTGTGGTTGATCGGTGTGGGCAAGCATACAATCACATGGCCTCATATCATTGTAATAAGTTAAGGGAAATGTGCCACACCATTCCAGCGCCACCTTGCTCCTGGAAGTTCCCGGGCCCCGTTAGCCCCGTTTCTCATTTACCAACTTCCTCACACACCACACCGCCAATCGCAAACTAGGAAGAACCGGTTTGTTAACAATTCGGCGAAATACCAGTCTCCTCATGATGCCCAAGTCTGATGGGATTTACGAGTCAGATATACACCATGTGAGGTTCAAACAGGCTTTGCATTCGATGCGAGGCCGAGTCCGATTGTCTTACATTCCTGTTTTTCTTTCTCTTCACTCAAGTAGATACGATGCCTTGGGCGGAAGCGCATCCTCACCTCGTGGCTGCTCGGACCCACCGATATCATCTCGCGCTTCACTTGCCATGCAAAGGGTTACACCTACCTACCTCAACACTTCAGGGTTCAAAGAAGCAACGCAGCGCCGTTGCGACGATCAATGTTTCCGTCGATCACCAAACCCCCAGGGTCCAGCAGCACCCTTCGTTCGGCGTGTTGATCTTCCCCTCGCCTTCACCGCCTGCATAGCTCTACCATACCATACTGACGCTAGCATCGCAAGCGTACTAAACGGTGCGTGCATGAAGCCAGAAGATAGGGCCCCCATGACCCAGTGCTGGTGTGGCTGGCAGGGTTTAGAGTTTCCCCGCACCATTTGGGCGCTTAATCTCAAAGGGGGGACATGAATCGCGCAAAGTCGGAATGAGATGGGAGGGGAGAGATAACTTTGGTCTCACGCGGCGTTGAGCGGTGAGTAAGCGCGCTTGGGGCGGGCCGGAGCATATTTTGAAGCAGTGATGAAGTGGTGGTAGTGTAGTTTTGGAGGGGCAGAGGAGGGGAGTGTATGACGACATTGGCATCGTCGAGTAATTAGGTATTACTTTATATTTGGACCTGCGCGCGCGCTCCGATGGAAGCGGTGAAAGGCCCAGCCGAAATTTAAAATGTGAAAACTAAACATACCGCTTCTATGATGACTGCGCGTCGCGTCGCTCGGGCAAACAAGCCGGTTGTTTCGATGCGAACATGTTCGCCTCGCCTTGCCATGTCGATCCGACCGGCCTTGGAACTTGCATGCTGCGAAAGCAAGCGATGCGAGTGAGGGAGAAACAAAAGGGTAAGTCAATACTCGTAATCGTGTTCTATACATAGCACCGCCGAACAAAGTCTGGCCCAAGCTCGCATCTCGCCGTCAAGCGCTGCGTTCAGTTTCGCTGCTGCGATGCGCCATGGAGGTAAATTCGCACCGGTCTGATTTGGGTGCTTACCACAGCAAGGCGAAGTATGCGATGCGAGATGGGATGGGATGGGGGATGTGAGATGTGTGCGACAGCACGCAACTCGCAGTGTGGTTGATGTCGCACGTAGGCGAGATCCGATCGCTGCTATTCTGTGGCGCATGGGTGTGTGAGTGGGTGAGATTTTAGTATGTAGGGCTGATGAGATGCTTGGATGTGTTGGTGGAGGAGAGGCCTGAAGATGGATGCGAGGTTGGATGCGTTGAAATGAATGCGTGGAGATGGGTGTGGTTGGGGGGAGAGGATCTGGGCGACGCGGCGAGATGGGGTATGTTGGTGCTCGAGACGGGATATGGAATGTCGGACGTGATATGCTTGAATGCTGCGGGGAACATGTTAGGATGTTATCAGATGAATATGTACATCGAAATGAGGGATGGTTTGGTGGATGGGTATTTGTGGTGAGAGAATTGTGTTGATAATAGGTGCTTCATCGAGGTACACAAGGCTAATGGACTCGAAATTCTTTTCGGCGTGAGAGGTCGGACTGGAGAAGAATTTCGGTCTGGAAGTCGCACAAGTTGTCTATGTAAACTGGTGAGCGCCTGGTGGAGTTGTGCCTCTTTTGGTGCTGATGAGATTGAAGGTCAAATTCGTGTTGGATGGACGCTTGTTTGGTTACTGAAGCCAGAATGTCTCTGCAGGTATAGTCTGTATGATAATTTTATGCGGTCACATTTAATTCAAACCTGCTATTCAAAGTTAAATAGAAAGTCTGTATTTAAGATAATGGAAGTTGCTCCACATCCCGATGAGAGTTTGCTAAACCTGCAACTGCTCTGCTCTACATCTGACATGATTACGCCGAATTAAAGACGATGTTGCGCCGTACGCCTCAAGGAAAGGCTCCAAGTCAGCATTCAGGACTGACTGCTCTTTGCGAAATTCGATTGTTGTTGTTGTTGTTGTTGTTGAGAAATCGTCCGGCAACTGCGAACCCTCACAATCCCGTCTCAACCTTCATGACACGCCGCGGAGCTTTACAACCATCACCAAAAGCTTACTCTTCCCTTACAAACATCACAAATCCACAAACACTTCGTCTCGGCCCGTCATATCCACCGCACAAGATGAGCGAATAGGCGTTGCCAAAACTCCGCTCTTTCCCGGTGATGCCCCGCTGTACCCCTCCTCGCAGACGTCGGCAGTTCCATAGCTCACACGCGTCCACCTTGCGATGCCCTCCCGTTGAGGAAATACTGAGCCTGAGGCAGGGGTGCTACTCGTTCGCATGCTCCATTGGACAGTGCCAAACGTTTTCCATGAGCAACGATGATCGCAGACCGGACAAGGTGTGTGGGATGCGATTCCGTCAGCATCATGCTATCTTGTGGGGTCCCGAGTGTGGGGTCATTAAAGCATGGTGCATTTCCGCGCGAGACTATCCTACATCTTTAAACTTGACTGACGTTGTGCTACCTGATCGCATCTTCCTGCACGTCTGACACAAATCCACGCACTCATCTCAAGCAGTCAGCACACTCCCGGCGATACAGTCAACATGGCCACCAAGCTCGATAACCCGAGAGAATACCAGGACATTTTCCATTGGGCTGAGACGCAGAAAGATGGCGCGGTCCCTTCGTTTGGAACCAGGAAGAATGATCCATATGAGGTGAGCTTACGCCTTGATCGTGCTTGTCAATACTCGCTGACCCGCTTACCTTGCAGTACCAACCGGGTTTCGGAAACAGCTTCGAGTCTGAGGCCGTTCCGGGTGAGCATGCGCCCAAGTCCGTCATGTCGCGATGATGTCTGACGAAAGCGGTTTGCGATTACAGGCACTATTCCCCAAGGACAAAACAGTCCGCGTAACGTCAGATTTGGGTTGTACGCAGAGCAGATGACCGGCACTGCATTTGTCGCGCCCAGACACTTGAACAAAAAGGCAGGTGTCGCCCAAATGCGGGAAAGTTGACGAGCTGACGTTGCATAGGCATGGCTGTACCGGGCAAGACCCGCAGTTGCGCATCAGGGATTCGTAAGTCCACATCTGTCAGACCTCTTTGGGCGTGATTACGCTCTCAATCTAGCACACGAATTCTGCACAGCCAGAAGCAGAATATTGACATGGGGCAACCATGTTTGCTGCGGCTGCGCGCTTTGCAATACGATGTTGAGTTTGCCGACGTCATGTGCTGACGACCGCGCCTAGACGGACCTCCCCGACAACGAAGACACCGAGTCTAACTTCTTGCCGTCAAACAAACGCGTACATCTCTCGCCTACACAGCTTGCGTGGCTGCCGTTCGATATCCCAACAAATGGCGAGGTTGATTTCATCCAGGGTCTCAAGAGTATTGCCGGCGCGGGAGACCCGACACTTCGCGAGGGTTTGGCGGTGCACACATTCTTGGCCAACACTAGCATGAAGAGGAAAGCGGTCGTAAATTCTGATGGAGACTTTTTGATCGTGCCTCAGGAAGGCGCACTGGATATTCAGACAGAGTTCGGCATGCTGTATGTACAACCTGGTGAGATCTGCGTTATTCAGAGAGGTCAGAGGTTTAAGGTGAAGGTTGAGGGGCCTACCAGAGGTTACATCCTGGGTATGTGATGGTTCTTGCACTGGTATCCAACTGCTGACGATGATCAGAAATCTGGGGCTCAAGCTTCCAGCTTCCAGAACTTGGTCCCCTGGGCGCTAACGGACTCGCCAATGCTCGCGACTTCCAGCACCCTATTGCGAAGTACGAGATTGAGCAGGAGGCATGGGAGATCGTGTACAAGCTTGGTGGCAAGTTCTTCAGCTGCTCGCAACAGCACTCACCCTTTGATGTAGTTGCATGGCACGGCAACTACGTCCCGTACAAGTATGACTTGACCAAGTTTGTCAATGTTGGTTCGATCTCGGTCGACCACATCGACCCGTCGATTTTCTGCGTTTTGACCGCGCCCTCGCGGGACCCAGCCGCGCCTCTTGCGGACTTTTTGATCTTCAGCCCCAGGTGGGATGTTGCTTCGCACAGTGAGTAACAGCGGCAAAATTTGTAAGATAGAAATGATGCTGACACTGCCAGCTTACCGACCTCCTTACTACCACCGCAACGGAGCTTCAGAGCTCATGGGTCTGATCTACGGTGAATACGCCGGTCGATCTGATGAGTTCCAGCCTGGTGGCGTTAGCTACGAATGTGGATTCGTTCCCCACGGTGTTGCTTATGAGGAGGTAAGAATGTCTTGAAATCCCCACCTAATCCCAATCACATGCTAACAAGACCATAGTTCAAAGCCGCCAGCGCTGCACCACCGCCTGAGATGCAAATTTCCAAGGGCGCAGTTGCGTTCATGTTCGAGAGCTGTCGCATGTTCACGATCGCGGACTGGGCGTGGAACAGCAAGAAGAAGCACGAGCATGACCCGAAGATGTGGGATAACCTTGGTGGACAATTTCTCCAAGCACAAGGATGAAGTTGAGAAACTCTTGTCAGAGGGTGTGAGAAAAATTGGGCTCAATGGTCGCTGAAACTGTTCTTGAGAAGAAGATGTGGTACGATATAGTGCCTGATGATTAGCCATCAATCAAATGACATGCCATCACCTGCTTGATACCATAATATTCTCGGTTCGTTAACTATGCGCCACAGCCTTTTCTAGTGCATGGTGACATTTCGGCTTTCAGCGCTCAGTCGTGATCCCATCCATAACTGTCCGGCCAGTCCGCCGCTTCATCATCGAATCCGTAGTCCGCACGCTCTGCCAATTCTGCGCCTTGCGGCCCTAGCGCTCGCAGTTGGTCCTTGCGACCATTGAACTCCTCGCCATACGGTTTAAGTTAGACAAAGTGAAACATGTATGGCAGGAGACTTACTCAAATTCATTCGTTTGTAGCGAAAGTCCAAAATGAAGGAGAATTGAATCGGACTGTCGATGAAAAAGTTTGCGAGATCGAGCAGCTTGTAGGGTATATTATCCAGTGTGAGCATTGGGTAGCGGATGTACAGCCGCTTGATCTGCGGAAGCGCTTTGTGCAGAGACTTGTCCTCTGGATCAAGTAGAAGGCATGGGTCCCAGTTCGGGACTCACCTCGAGCATGAGATGCTTGATGGTTGGCGGAAGGGTCTTGACGAGATTTAACAGCTGATTGGGACGAGCGACGTCCGCAGGGCTAAGTATCATTGCCAATAGTCCCGCGTATGTGTCGAGGACCGGGAAAGAAGCGAGTTGGCTGAAGTGGCCGGCGATCGAATTTGCTTGTGGCGGATTCCGGCCTAGCATCATCGCATCAAAACTGAGTCGTTCCAGACTGCCACTTTGACTTCGAAGAGCTGCGTCGACGACGCGGTACCAACCAGACTCTTTGCTCAACCATATGTCTCCACAAAAATAGAAGTTGAGAAGCGAAGAACAGCTCTTTATCATGGCGCCTACTGCCTCCGCAGGCAAGGCCCCAGACAACCCGAGGCGCTTGATGGTAGAACTGTGTGCAGCGCACTCCCAAGCGTCCTTGTCTTTTGACCACGCAAGACAGGCTTTCTGGAAATCGTCCTCTCTTGACTCGTCTCCGGCCAAGAAAAGCGTCTCCAATGAATGCAGATTGAAAATTGCGGAGATGTCGCAGGGGCGCAGTGAACAGTATGGAATCCTGACGTGAGATAGATGTTTGAAGCTGTGACCTGAGCTGAATGGCAATCCACGGGCAACGTGCAATAAGTGTCGCAGGTATGCCGGAAGTCTTTTCCCAGCTGAAAGAAACTCCGATTCTGCATGAAATTCGACTAGCTGGGGCATTAGGCAGATTTGGACTGCAAGTAATGCATCGCCACAGCCATGCAAAATGTCTCGAACCCATTGTTGAGTGAAGGGTACCTTCAGCGTGTGGACGAAATCGATAGCTTTTGATATGTCCGACAAATGTAAACTCGATGTGTCCGACAAATGTAAACGCTCCTCTTCTCGTTGCCAGAAGATACTCTTGGTGAAACAGACAAGCTGTGGCGCATCCAGAGTAGTATGCAAGAACTTTGCGAATATCTGCATGTCGTCTTCGTAGGTGATGGCGAACCAAGAATAAAGAAAGGGAACTGATAACCTGTTGAAGCGGCGATTTACAAGAGTGAGAGCATGGACCATGGGCTTTCCTTCGGTCAAGTTGTCCAGTCCTTCGATCATCAAAACGAGTAGCTCGTCTGGTAAGTCGTTGATGTTTGTGCGTAATCCGACGCGCCTCTGTCGCCGCGCCGGCGGCGCGATGTAAATGGGTTCGCCCAGCGCTGTGCGCTCTGCTTGTGCACTTGTAAACACCATCGTTGTCAACGATTGCAGTTCAAGGTGTAGTGTGGTGCGCGAAGTGGGAAGAGATACGAGCTTCAGTTTGTATTGATCAGGCTAACGGGGTCCACTAGCGGGGTCTACTAGCGCAATTGTGTAACGCGAGAGCACGTGATATGCCCACTGCCCAAGTGTCCTCTGCTACTGGAGGGCACCCTTCTTTACAAGCACCACCACGGATCGTGTCTCCTTCTCGGGTCTGTACGACCAGAAATGAAAGCAAGTCGAAACTCAATCGCCCTGCGTGGTGTTGGGGAAACATGAAACATTCCTATAACGTCGGGTAGGCGCTGTGAACTGGTTGGCTCACAGTGCGACCTTGCACTGCCGCGAACATCCTTGATCTACGCTCAGCCCTGTGTCAGGCATGCCAAAACATGGCCGCCCTGAGGCTGCCTCGCCTTCCTTACTTAACATCCTGCGCTTCGGTGAAGTCTGATCTTCAAAAATGTGGTCTGCGACCTTACTACTAATCTTCGCGATGCAAGTCGCCGCGCGTGGCAGCGACGTTTGGTTGGGCGCGCTACCCAACTGCTGGCAGAGATGCTTCGCCAACACCGAAGATGGCTGCTCCTCCAGCTCATGTAAGGCGCGCTTGAGTCGCATGAAAGGACGCGCTGACAATACCACAGGTGTTTGCAGTACAGCCGAGAGTAGTGAATCATACCTGTCAAAGGCAGTGTCTTGCGCTGTGCAGAAATGCGACGCTGAAGAATTCGCCCTTGAGCTAGCCCTCGGGCCTCTTCAGCTTTTATGCTTCGGCCTGGGATGTCCTATATCCAAGGACGTTATGGACGAGGCATACGCCGCAGCTTCCGACACCGAACCCTCCGCGCCGAACCCTACAAATAGTAGGAAGGCAGACCAAACAACGTCAAGGGCGCGCAGCGAAGCACCCGAGGTGACCAGCATCGTCCGGTCTACCTTGACGCAGACGACAACGGACAGCAATGGCAATACTCTGCAGGTTGTGGTACCGATAGCGGTCGGCCCATCAGGCATTGTCACTGGTTCGTTCTCAACTTCAACGATGAGCGGGCAAGCAACAACAACAAGCGCGACCACATCTCTGAGTCCATCGGCAGAACCTTCTCTGCCCGAGCTCAGCCTATTTTCACCGTTGACACCGACCGCAGCCCCTCAACGGACGGGTACGGGAAGCTCGAGTGGGGGCAACGGTAGTCCGTTTGACATGGCAGGCACTGCAAGTAGATGGTCTATTCCCATA